TGCATGGTATTGCAGGACATGCGAAGCCGAAGCCTTCCGAAGCACCCGTGGAAGAAGGCCAGGTGTCATTTTCTCAGGAATGGTTCACGTGGCAGGCCACGACTGTGAATGTCACATAATGATATATAATGATATTATGATTCTGTTGAACAATCTGGAACATTCTGGAACAAGCTGAAGCACACCAGTATGTTACATGTGTTTTCAAATATATTTATATATATTTTTACACCTTTTTTGGATTGTGCATACGTCACTGTCACTGACTGCCTCATCTTAGTAGTGTTTCATCATTTAACTCCAGGAATGGACACCAGACCTGAAGGTGCTCCAGTGGAAGCAGGCGTATTTCCACACTTCGTGCAGGGTTTATAAAATGAGTGTTGCTAGATTGTTGGATGGTTTTTCTCTTGGAATGTCAGTGCATTGCATTTCATAAACCTGTGACATGGTTTCAAGATGTTTCAAGATCTTCCAAGGACATACCAAGCCGAAGCCTTCCGAAGCAGCAACGGAAGAAGGCCAGGTTTCATTTTCTCGGGAGTGGTTCACAAGGCAGGCCCCGACTGTGCACATAAGCTGAAGCACACCACTATTAGGCACTATTTAATGGATACATATGGATTTTTTTTAAATCTATTTAATACTTTTAACACTATAATATGTTATAATATGTTTATATATTTTTATTCTATCTATATGTTCCTTCTTTATCCTTCTTTTGAGTGTGTGTATCCATCACTGGCTGCTTCATTTCAGCAGTGTGTGGTAGTTGTTTGCCATTTGCTCCAGGAACTGCTCCAGGAGTAGGAAAAGAATCCAAAGATGATCGAGCAGAAGCAACAGGCACTTTCACACCGTCGTTGCGTTCAGCCCAGGTTTATGAAATGAGTGTCACCGGGTTTGTGGAGGCCTTTTGTTTTTGGAAGTCTAGTGAAGTACGCTGTATAAATATTTGAGTTGTAGCATTTGTTTTTTTGTTCAAAAAATAAAGTTCTATGAAGTGGATGTTTAAGGACACAACAGGATTCAGATTCAGAGCAACTGTCTTGGTCATTTTATAAAGGGTGCTATATATCCTTGTATCGCCACGCGGCACAAATTAGGGTAGAAAGGATTTGATCGCCCAGCGTGATTCAGCATAGTTTTGTTTCTGGTGCAATGGAGACTTTGCTTGCTGCTGCACTCCTTCTTGTTCTTGTGACAGTGATTGTGCAGCTGATGATCACAGAGTTCTGTTGCCGCTCTTGCCATCGTCGAGCTCAGCTGGGTCATTCCTTCAAGATTGCCGCAGACACTTGCACAGCATCCAGCCCAACCACATCTGGCCAGCCCACTCCTACATTGACATGTCCTCAGTCTCTGGCTGTGACGCCTAGTGGAACTTGTTTCATTTGCCCTCATGTGGGCACGTTTCCAAGCGCACAATCCGTGTGTTGAAACCATGCGAACATTGCCTGAAGATGTTTGCTGAGAAGGTTGACTAGATATGCCAAAGGATGCATTACTGATCATTACTGTAGGTGTGTTGATGGCACACATTAGTGTCCAGATGCATCCAATTCCGGATGCTTGCGTGAGTATGCCCCTGTGGGATGAAAAGTTGATGCAGGAGTCGAGAACAATGATCATTTATGAAATGAGATTGCAGCATATTGCAGCATTCCATAAGTATCAACTCCATAGAACCAGAAGTGCCATCAAATCGCTGCAACATGCTGCAAGCTGAACATTGATATGTCATGTGGTGGAGGCGCAGATGCAGACCCTGGACATGATGACAGTAAGCTTTTACTAGAAGCAGGCTCGATCACCAGTGTGAGAAGGCTTTACTTTTGGATAATGATCCTGTGTTTTATGAAATGCCAAACCTGATGTCACTGGGTTTGTCGTGCACACATTGACCTTACATAAGCCATTACATATATCCAATTGCCCTCAATCCTTTTGGCAGGTACGCCTCCGAAGCATAAGCTCCAGAGTGCGACGGAAATTCTTTGGAAGGAGATTGATAAACACATGGAACGCCATGACCACCTTTGCAGGAGAATGGATGATCTGCCGCCTTGCGAGGATCCAGAACCACACACCCCTCAGAAGAAACCCAAAACAGGCAGGAGAGCACTTTGGAACCTGAGCATCCTCATCTGTGTATATCTTTGTATGACGTGTATGATGACGAATGATTCAATGATGTTTGTTAATATTCCTAACAGCTTTACATAGCCTGCAGGCAACCACAAAGCAGCTGATGGAGGGTGTGGAGCACAGTCAGTCAAGAGGACTTTGAATGAAGCAGAAGGTGCGCTAGGATTCTCCAGGTATATACTGTAGATTTCTCAGACCCCAGTTGCGAGCCCTTGTGCACAGCAGGCACAGAGCAACCAGCTAAGCAGGGAAAAGTCCTGAAAGCAGACTCAGGCATGTCTCGGAAGGTTTGTTACAAACTTACAAACTCAAACTATTTTAATTATTTGCAAATAGCACGTCAGTGTCCTTGCAAGGTCTGCCAAAGGACCAGTCACAGGTGCGAGTGAAAGCAGAGCCGTCACAAGGCCGAGTAATACATCTTCTTCAATCCAGCGGTGTGGATTTTTGTGTTTGCTCTCTCCATTAGATGTTGGTTGAAGAATCCCTTTCTGTCTGAACATGGGCTGCTCAGGGTTCGTGCGCGCAACTGAGATAGCTATAGCCACAGCCTCAAAGAAATTCAATTTTGGATTCTGGATTGTTCTTGGATGTTCTTGGTATAGAATGATTCGAATGATTTCTTGCGTATGTTGAAGTAATTACTGTATCTGTCTCTTCCAAAGACAGAGGTTCAGAGAGCGGAGACCTTGAAGAAGCCGGGTGTTTGGCTTGATCTCATGGACGTGTGCCTTTTTTCTTGTGCACGCAAGAAGGAGCATTGCAGCAATCATGTGCAACCATACGCACACAATACTTATGTGTTTGTGATTGGTCATTTGGCAGCATTGTTTGTTTATAAAATGGGTTAACCCTAGTACGATTACTCTATTTTGCTGGATGTGGGTTGGGAGAGTCATTT